AAAATCCACCCATTACAGGGATCAGGGAATTATTTTATGTGAAGCTGTGACAATAAGTAGCCGAGTAAACGTCACCAGGCTCTGGGTTGGGAGGGGCTGAGCAACAAATGCTGGTGCACAAAAAAGCAAACTGGAGCCTTTGGCAGGCTCTGGGCTGGCCGAGGAGGAAGGAGGATAATCTGCTTTGTTTGCTCTTTGCCCTTTTAGCTGTTCACAGAGATTCCCAGCCACCAGCCAGACAATGGAACACCTATCTGGCCCAGCCACTTGCCTTTCAGTCAGAGGTGCAGCAGCCCGGGGATGTTATTTTGCCCACCTCTTAAGAAATGCTATTTACTCCTCTCCCTAACAAGGAAGATACTTACACGTGGTAACAGGAGCTGCAGCTGAGGGTCACCAGCCTGCTCTGGTCTGATCACCCAAGCCCCTGGGCACAGCCCAACGCAGGCACTGGGAGCACAGCTGGTGCTGCAGCTTCTGGGTCTCCCCCTGCATGGGGTGCTGCACAGCCCACCAGCTAACGGCCCCGTTTTCCTGGGGGGGGACCCTTCTCCCCTGGCAGACCTCATACCACAGCCCCCAGGCTGCAGCTGTGCCCCTGGGAGAAACGTCTGCCCTCCCTGCCTTCCCAGCAGCTGCAGGTTGCCCTTTGCTGCAGCCAGAGACCCACAGCACCAGCAGGCTGCCTGCTGCTCCCACTGGGAATGGGCAGAACTGACCAAGTAAGGGGGAAAAATAAAAAGAATTAAAAAGAAAGGAAAAAAGAAAAAGCCAGTTTTCCCCCGTTAGCACCGTTCTGTCCTCCAATCCACTCACGTCCCAGCCTCACATTTCTGTTCAGCATTCAGCTGCAGGGAGGAATACCAGGAGATGGATGGGTGTCTGTGGAGATACAGGTGTTTTCCTGTGTGAGCTGCATCTTGAGACACACGCAGGCACAGCCGAACGCTGCCTGTGCTGCACCTAAAGCCAGGGGGAAATACCGGCTGGCCAGGCAGCGTCTGGCACTCCAGAGGGATCTCAGCAGCCTGGCTTTAGCTGCCAGAGGTTCTCCTGGAAGCACTGGGATGGACAGACTGACACCCTGTGCCAGTGCCCTCCTGGCAAGGGCCTCTTTCCATCTTCTGCCCGGTGCTGGTTT